GCAACGGTAGATCCTACCAACTTATCTATAATTAATGTATTGGACCTGATTCGATTACATTACACCAAACAAGGAAAATTAACGAGGTAGATGATGCTATATTGTTGTAGAACATGGCCACTCATATTTTCAAACACCAAATCGGTTATCACATTTGGTTGAAAATATTAGTGAGTATAATATATAGGAGAATTTTTTYGTTAAAAAAGCTTTAAAACAAATAAACTGTACTATTCGTAAGACGTCTTTATATAAAACGGTATCTGATGATATATTAATTAATTTGAAAGACAGTCATGATGTATCAATAAAACCATCAGTGACGTAGTTGACATTTATTCAATAGCTGAATGGGTTTTCAGAAGTTGTGAACATATTTATAATATTAAAAATGATTTATATGCTAAAATAAAAATACATGTATGCAGTAGTACTAAAAGAATTTTTAAGGATGATCATTGTATAAGGAAAAATCTCTTTATTAACCATATAGAAATTGATAGATTTAAAAAGGCGAAAGATTTTTTCGATTTGAAGGGGAACCGGTGCAGTGTTGAGAAATTGATAGAAGTTATTATTATTTATATATATTTAGATGTCAGATTACACCATGTAACTTATAAGAATCTAATCATGAAAAAATTAACAAAATTAATTCTTTTTCGCAACGAAAAATAATCATCAACTATTTATTTATTTGTAATACTGGTGTACTTAATCAGCATAACAATACATTTTTTATTTTTATTGAATTATTTCAAATTTTTATTATTATTGTTATTTTTACGAATTTACTTTTTGTGTTTAAGACATTTTGTTWCCTCATTTCCATACCATTCAGTAATCGCTATTCACTAATCGGTATGTAGTAGGCGCTAGGCAGTCGCTGTCCGCACTCCGCAATAGCTGTTTTCTGAGCGCTTATATTATCACAATAATTATTGTGTAGAAGTTWAAAAAAAATTATTTTKTTCCAAAAAAWGGACATCATCGCTACACGTTTTCTCTTGACCGCATCATTACACAGGGAAGTAGTATATGGGTGTTCCGTCTATAAGTATATAATAAATTCTATGGTAATCTTAAACACGCTTTTGCGCTTTATTTAGAATAAACATGATATTTAACAGGAGCGGTGTAAAACAAGACCAGAACGAATACTCAAGTAAATAATAACATAAATAATCAATAAGTATAATGTTATCTATAATACCCATATTCTAATACATATATAATAATATGATGGTAACGTATACTGGTTATATTATATTTTCTCCTGCAGCCGCGTACCTATAGCGACCGCCTACCCAGGCGCAAATGATATCGTAACATTGAAATMAAATAAAATATGAAATCGAGTCAATGCCGGAATTCCGCGGGCAAACCGATATTCGACCGAATGGATAGTAACTATTAAATACGACCTACGACGTATAGTGTACCAAATAATACCTATAATACTCGTCTATACACCTCTACACAGCTGCAAAGGTCATATTTCAAAATTCAAATACCGATGCGAGCGACGATCCGTATATAGGTACAACATTTCTGTACATATATATATATATATATAAATCAGCCGTACCTGCGACATATATTATTATAGAGCCGTCGGTCAGGTATATATACATATATATATATATATATATATATGTGCACAGCCTGCAGTAAGTATATACATATATATATATATATTCACACAAATTTAATACACTCGTCGCGTTTACATAATATAATATTATATGCCTAATATATTATATTATATCGCAACGAATAATATTACCAGTTCTTGAGTTCTCGTGTTTTGTTCCCGTATCGGTTACGAAATTCGAATCCTATCCGTCGACGATTATATTTTTTACGCGTCGTCGGGTCTCGCGCGTGTGCGTCAATGGCGGTTCCGGTATGCTCGGTAGAGCATCATAATAATATTATCTTCTATTATTTTGTTTTTATTTGATTTAAACGATCTATACATACCCCCATACGTGTTGTGTGAATAATATAATATTAAGCGTTGTAAAACGTTACAGCCAACGAAAATCTGCGGGAGAGCGTTATTAGGTACCTATAGCATTTTTATTGAATTCTATCCATCGTCAGTATAGTTCCTATATAAAATATGGCATGTATACCTACATTATTTTATGTTACATTTTATTTGATATTTCCCTTGATAACTGATATAATATCGATAACGTTTTCGGGGTCCTTGGGGGGTTTTATTAGAGGGGAGGGGGAGATGCGGTTAAATCGTGGCTTATTCTTATCATCGCTACTGGTTTCCAAAATTTGAATTCGGTTGTGCATAACTCATCGTCTGCTGCTACTATTACATACGGTTTTTACTGCGAAATACATAATATTATAATAACTAAATACTTCTATCATTCGATTTCCCATATATTATAATTTTCGTATTACATCTCGAGATGAACGCTGCCGCAGTTGAAAACACCGAGAAAAGGAACAAACGCGTTTCAAAGCAAATATGAAGCTCTAGCTTCAATCAAAAGTGCATTCAGTGGGCTCGACATTAAACGGAATAATGTGCGATTAATAAAAATTTAAAAAACAAAATTTTTAAACACATAATATTATTTCCTCCCCATCAAAAGCTTAAAATTCTCTGAACATTGAATTTCCAGGCTCTACGCAGGCCTGTTCAGATGATTTTTAGGAAACGTGGGTGAATACTATTAGTTGTACGATGATGACCAGACAGGTTCACAGGTGGGTGTTTTAGGCGTTCGAACAC